AGGGCAAGGACATTAGACTCAGCAAGCATAAGAAGCACAAGACAGGCTCTCTTGATAAAGCATCGAGTCCTCACCGAATTGAGACTGACACTCAGTCTAGAGCCTCTTCGCTTGCCTCATTGAGTCGAGGACAATCACAAGGTGCACTTCGGTCGCCTTCGTTTCGCCCCAGCCAATCCATCGACTCCAATCAGGAGCTGGATTTGACTCAGATACCGCAATCTCCTGGTATCGAGAGCCTTCATCAGGAACGAGGGACCCATCCCGTCGTCCCCTCACCACCCTTTGGGCCCGACGATCGAGACCGATCTCTGATGCCACTCCAGCTCCGATCATGGGATCAGCACCAGTGGCAATATTTATACAAGGCTTATCCCTTCCCGGGATCGATGCCATGGCTTCCCCCACGCCCCCCTGTCGAGTGGGATCACCAATCCGCATCCTCACGGATTTCCCAGTACCGAGACCCTTCCTCGGCATCAAAATTCGTTAAACCTCTGCAATTGAGACCGATCGCTAAAGGTTCCAGCCTCCAGTTGTCGGTGTTGAAACACTTCCCGGAACCGACGGAGCTATTGCCTTCGATGACGATCCTCCAGTCATCGTTCTCTGAACCTTTGGACCACTCCAGCTCTTCTGATTCCCAATCGGGCGAGGAGAAGTCCACACCCACCATTGCAACCATCCCCACTGCAACAGGTCGAGGATGATCTACCCATTTCCCCATCAGAGGATGTCAAATCTTATAGGGACTTTGTCAAACGTATGGCTGATAAATTGGCTTTGTCCACCACCCAGCCACCACTGATTGTCACGGACTCCATCTTCGACACTGACCAGATGGGGACACCTCAGCATTGGTCGCCCTCCCCATGACCTCAGTCCTTCTAAAAACAGCCAAGGATCCCGGGTCTCATCCTTCTGCTGTCCTGGTTTCCAATAAAAGACTGGACCATATGTACAAGATCCAGGAGTCGGGAGCTGAATTCCTCTTCACCCATCTGAAGCTGAATTTGTTAGTCGTGACCTCTTTGGCTAATGGCAAGAGCAGCCAACTCTACCCCTTCAGATAGAGAAGGAAGGAGGCTTGGACGCTTCCGGAAGAAAGTTTTACACCACAGGAGCTATGGGGATTAAGGCTGCTAATTATGCTGCCTGCATGGGGCGCTATCAGTTTGCCCTATGGGAACAAATGTCAGAACTTCTCTCTACTCTCCTGAATGACAGCAGTCATCAGGGTAAACAGATCCAGAAGAAAGGTATGCTTCTGGCTAAGCACCAACTTAATGTCTCCAAACACTTGCTGGACTCCGCAGCTAAGACCCTCACGTCGTCAGTTGCTTTACGTCAACATGCATGGCTATGCTCTTCGGCCTTACAGCCAGATGCCAAAACCATAGTTGAAGATCTTCCCTTTGAAGGTGACGATCTCTTCAGCTCCACCACAGACACTGTGCTTCAAGAGCTGGACAAGAGCATCAAGACATCTCGTAGTCTGGGTGTCTCACCTACCACTACTCTCGTTACTTCACGGTACCGAAAAAGGACGGAGCTGTTCTGGACTCTATCGTATGCAAAGCCTCCCTCTCTCCGCAGAGAGTGAAAGACATTGTCGATCTAGTGAATCGCTTATGTGATACAGGAACGGCCACTGTAAAGCAAGTCCAGCGGCTACCACCAATGTTATTGTCTGTGCCAGACTATGCATGCGACCATTGCAGCTGTGGTTTGTCAGGAGGTTCCACCCACAGTATCATCCCCAATCCCTCCATCTAGTCATCCCACAGCCTGTCCTGCACTCCCTACTCTGGTGGACAGACCCTGCGAATCTCCTAGCAGGAGCTCCGTTCCACCCTCCCAAGACTACGCTCACGTTAACCACAGACGTGTCCCTTTGGGGATGGGGTGCACATCTCAAGGGTCTTTGTGTCGGGCTTGTTGGGAAGCCCAAGTAGCCCACCACCACATCAATTTCCTAGAACTGTTGGCAGTGCAGTACGCACTCAGGTCCTTTTGACACCTTGTGGCTCGGCAGGTAGTCACTGTCCTCACGGACAACACCACGACCCTCTGTTATATCAACAGACAGGGAGGCACGGTATCCCGGGGACTATTAAACTGTGCTACACATTAGCAAATAGGTCACTTCCGGGGTTGCTAAGGGCACATTCCACCCGGGCAGTGGCCACATTCACAGCCTTCCTGCGAGGTGCATCACTTGAAGATATCTGCAATGCAGCGACCTGGGCCACTCCTCACATGTTTGATGTGCGCATTCACCAGTATTCAGCAGTGTTGCAGGTAGCACAGGATTAGGACCTCGGCTCCCTCCTCCAGGTAGGCGTGTACTGCTTGCTAGTCTCCCAGAGGTGTGATGCATAGAGACCATGAAGAAGATAAACAGATTGCTTACCTTTAACTGATGATCTTCGAGTGGTCATCTGTGCATTCACACCACCCGCCCTCCTTCCCCTCTGCTTTCAGTCCTGTCCTTTCCTTGGAGACTAAGGTCAGTGGTCAGAAGGAACTGGCGAGATCCTCGTGCCCTCCCCTTAGTCATGCGCCCCTTAGTCATGCGCAGTGGAGCTCAGCATGCCCCCTTAGTCATGCGCAGTGGAGCCCAGCATGCGACTGGGGAGTGGGCGCGAAAATCCCTTTTGCTTTCCATTATACTGATTGGGGTCAGTGCAGGTGCACTATATCCCAGAGGTGTGAATGCACAGATGACCACTCGAAGATCATCAGTTACAGGTAAGCAATCTGTTTTTCTTTCCTCACTGTGGGCCCATTCCTTATCACTGTAATGTTGTCCTAGTTGCCCAGCTGTCTGGTGTTATATTAAAGGAACTACCTTTCCTGTCTTCCACTCCCTTTCTTTTCTGTTCCCATTCCTATCTAATATGGTTCACTTTGGGTATACTGTAAGCCCATGTATGGGATATGTCATCTTTAAATTGGTGTTCAGCACCCAGATCATATAGCTTTAAAAATTACAGTAGGTGCATGTATAGTCACAGACTTAACAATAAAATTCTCAAAAACTTCCCTACTGCACTGTCATGATGTGGCCCCATGACTCCTCACCAAATCAGTGAAATGTAGCAACCACTGGTACTGCTTCAACCTCATTGGAGCAGTTGCAGCAATTTAGGCAAAGGACAGAATTCCATAGGCTTTCTGTTTATCATCTGGTCTCATCAGTCATAGTTAAGTTGCTTGTTGTTGCATAGTGGTTGACCTGATTACTGTCTGTTCATCTAGCATGCTTGAGATTTAAGAGGACGGGGGGGGGGCATCAGTGTGGCATCCTGTGGTACTGAATGCTGAGTTAGAGACTGGGCCCCCTTAGAGTGTTTGAGATTGTTCTTTTTAAAGACAGCACAAAATAGTTGTCTTTATTTTTTCACCTGAATTTTGATATATTTTGAAATGTTTTATGAGAAAGCTTTTGAAAGTAACTGCCACTTTTGACATAACCATCTGCAGCAGTTTCCATTCGCTAACAAATTTCCAAATCATCTTTGTACCTTTCAGAAAGATAACATTTCATAAATTAAAGTGTCATCTAAAACTCTTTTATTGATGAGCTTGAAAGATTTTTTTTCTATTGTGTATATTTGAAAAAAGAAACTGAAGAAGTATGTCATTTATTTGTACCTCTTTCTGCATTAACTTACGAGTTTCTTTCTATAAGTAATGATTTCAAGTACATGTACTGCTCCATTGGGGGGGGGGAGTAGCATTGTAATGCTTTTTTCTAGGACCCGCCAAACTGTCCACTTTGTGAAACTTCATTTGGTCCTAACAGAAGGTATTATATGCTGTTGTGTTTGATTTTTTTTTTCTTTCAGCAAGTTTATATTTGCTATAGCATGTTTATAGAAGATTAAAAACTCTGGGTTTATACTAGGCCAAATCCAGTACCAATAGCATGACTTCAAACGTGCTTAATGAGGAATTAGTCTTGATGCCAAGGATTGGGGCAGGCAATTGCTTTTTCTTCTTTATTTTTTTTTTAAAAAAATCAGTGGTAATGCCAAAAGAAGGGTAGTACAGAAAGAGAAGTAAGGAATACTAATATGTAGATATGCAGAGTACAAATATTTTGGTTTCAGGCCAGGCTGTGGTTTTAGTTCACGACCTCTATCTGAATGTAAACAAAGGTTTACACTTCTCTCTTTATAGGCTTGGTCAGGCTCTTTGCTTCTCTCAGCAATGCCTGTTGCCTGTTCCCTCTTTAAAAGGAACTGAAAACAGTTACAGCCTGTGCAAGGGCTTTTTCTGTAGCAACCTCAATTCTTTAGAATGGGCTGCCATGTGAAGTTCAAAGTGCTTCATGTTAGCTCTTTTTAAGGAGAGCCTGCAAAGCAAAGCACTTTCATAGACCTTTTCATAGATTTTAGATATTTGAAGCTCTCACAATATGTTTCAGGCAATTTTTTTATGGCATTTGTATTTAATCCTGTTGAAAATGACTGTGAGCCAGAAGGCAGTAATAAACATCTTTACTAAATTAATATATAGACATTGTGGAATATAGCAAGAGATGGGAGACAGCAAATACAGAGGTGCCAAACCAGTTTGGCGTAGTGGTTAAGAGTGGCAGACTCTAATCTGGAGAAACGGGTTTGATTCCTCACTTCTTCCCATGCAGCCAGCTGGGTGACCTTGGGTCAGTCACACTTCTCTTAGAGCTGTTCTGTCAAGCACAGTTCTCTCACTCAGCCCCACCTACCTCACAGGGTGTCTGTTGTGGGGAGGGGAAGGGAAGGAGATTGTAAGCCACTCTGAGACTCTCAGTGAAAGGCAGGGTATAAACCCAACTCTTTTCCTTCTGTTATTTTTTATAAATGAGAAAATGAACAGTAAAGTAGGGTGACATGGCCAAAATGTTGTGCTATATGAAAAATGTGAAGAACAGAATTCTGAAAAGTTAATATTAGTACAAGTGACCAGAGATGTTAAAATACACCTGACTTGCAAATTTTACATTTATACAGAAGCCGCAATGCAGACGTCAGAGACTGGGTCAGACACAGGTTCAACAGTGACTTTACAGACTTCTGTAGCTGGTCAAGCAGCCGTGCCCACGCAAGTGGTACAGCAGTTACCAGTGCAGCAACAGGTAGGTCATTGTTCATTTTGAATATAACAAAGTTTCCCTCCCTCATTCTGTATTTTGAAATGAAGCCCTTTTACATGACATACACAAAGAGTTCAGTTTCTTTAAATTTGTACAGACTAAAATAGCTGTATAAAACATCTTTAAAAATTATTTAGTTAGCAGTTATCCACCTCATGCTTTATTCTTTCAAGTTGCTTTCCAGCTTTAGCCTTTGACCTGTAAAGCCTTTGGGACTTAACGACTTCCTACTCCCATAATAACCTGCCCAACTATTACAGTCATCTCCAGGAGCCTTTGACAGCAGAGGCTAGATGGATGATAATCCAAGAAAGGGACATCTTGGATATAGCACCAAAACTGTAGAATTCTCTCCCCAGGAAGATTTAGCTGTACTCCTCTAACACTGTCTTCTGCCAGGGAGCAAAGTCTTCTTAGTTTCATTTGGTCTTCTCTTACTGACCTTTCTTCCTCTGTATATTTTTGGTTTTTTATATAAATGCAGGGCTATTTTTGGGCTGGAACGCCCTGGAACGGCATTCCAGCTGGCTTCCGAGCCTGCCCCACCCCTCTCCGTCCCGCCCCTCCCTGCCCCCAGCAGAAGAAAAAGCAGCAGCAAGCATGCAGAGCACATGCACTTGCTGCTGCTCTGTTGCCGCCGCTCTCCTGCGCGTCCCCTCCTCAAGGACTCTTCCTCAGGCAAGAAAACTGTCGGGGGAGGCATGCAGGTGGGCGGGCAGGCAGGTGGTGGGTACTCTTCTGGGGCAGAACCATTAACAGAAGCGAGTGGGAGGGAAGGCCTTGGCTCCATCCTTGCAGGGCAGGCCATCACCGTCGAGGGAGGTGAGTGGGTGGTGGGTGGGAAGGCCTCGGCTCCTTCCTCCCTCCTTGCAGCGCAGGCCGATGCTGTCAAGAGAGGTGAGCGGGTGGTGGGGGGGAAGGCCCTGGCTCCCTCCTCACTCCTTGTGGTGCGGCCCAGCGGCCGTCGCCGTCGGAGGAGGTGAGCGTGTGGTGGGTGGGAAGGCCGCAGCTCCCTCCGGCTGGGCCACGCCATTGAAGGAAAAGAGTGGGTGGTGGGAAGGCCTTAGCTCCCTCGTCCCTCTTCCATCCTCACAGTGCGGGCTGGAGCCGTCGAGAGAGGCGAGCGAGTGGTGGGTGGGAAGGCCCCGGCTCCCTCACGGTGCAGCCCGGCAGCCGGTGCCATCAGAGGAGGGTGGGGAAGGCCCTGGCTCCCTCCTCCCTCCTCGCAGCGTGGGCTGGTGGCTGGCGCTGTCGACATAGGCAAGCGAGTGGTGGGTAGGAAGGCCCCAGCTCCCTTCTCCCTCCTTGTGGTGCGGCCCGGTGGCTGGCACCGTTGAAGGAGGTCAGTGGGTGGTAAATAGGAAGGCCTCGGCTCTCTCTTCCCTCCTCCTTCCTCGCAGCATGGGCTGGCACCCGTCGAAGGAGGTGAGCGGGTGGTGGGTGGGAAGGCCCTGGCTCCCTCCTCCTTCTTTGCAGCACGGGCCAGTGGCCATCACCGTCGACGGAGGCAAGCGGGTGGTGGGTGGGAAGGCCTTGGCTCTTTCCTCCCTCCTTGCAGTGCAGGCTGGCGGCCAGCACCGTCAACATAGGTGAGCAAGTGGTGGGTAGGAAGGCCCCAGCTCCCTCCTTGCGGCGCAGCCCAGTGGCTGGTGCCGTCAAAGGAGGTGAGTGGGTGGTGGGTGGGAAAGTCCCGGCTCCCTCCTCCCTCTTTGCGGTGCGGCCCGGCGGCCGGCACTGTTGAAAAAAGCGAGTGGGTGGTGGGTGGGAAGGCCTCGGCTCCCTCCTCGCAGTGCGGGCCGGTGCTCTCGAGAGAGGCGAGTGAGTGGTGTGTGGGAAGGCCCCGGCTCCCTCCTTCCTCTTTGCAGTGTGGCCCGGTGGCCGGCACCATTGAAGAAGGTGAGCGGGTGGTGGGTGGGAAGGCCTCGGCTCCCTCCTCCCTCCTCGCAGTGCAGGCCGGTGCCGTCGAGAGAGGCGAGCGAATGGTGTGTGGGAAGGCCCCGCCTCCCTCCTCCCTCTTTGTGGCGTGGCCTGATAGCCATTGCCGTCAAAGAAGGCGAGCGGGTGGTGGGTGGGAAGGCCTCAGCTCAGCTCCGTCCTCCCTCGCAGCGCGGGCTGGTGCCATCGAGAGAGGCGAGCGAGTGGTATATAGGAAGGTCCCAGCTCCCTCCTCCCTTCTTGTGGCGCAGTGCGGTGGCTGGTGCCGTCAAAAGAGGTGAGCGGGTGGTGGGAGTGATGGCCTCAGCTCCCTCCTGCCTACTCACAGCGTCAACAGAGATGAGCGGGTGGGGGTGGGGGGGGGAAGGCCCGGGGGAAAGACACATCATTTGTTTATTATCTACTTAATTGTTAAGAGGTATCCCAAAGACCCTGCTTGAGGTAGGTTTTAACTAAAACAGTAAGACAAAGTAATAAAACTGCAGCTCTTCCTAGTTGTAACCTTCATTTTGAAACTGCTGCTGGTATGTTTAGTGAGGGACTGCTTTTGGGGGGCTTTTTAAAAAATCTATAAATGTAAGAAAACCTATGGTGTGGGGTTTTGTGCATGCACATGAAAGCTTATACCCAGAATAAAACTTTGTTGGCCAACTTGGCCTTAAAGTTTTCGGTGGACTCAGACTTTGCTCTGTGTGCCATCTATTACAGAGTGGCAGTTAAATCAGACAATAAGTTGTTGTAACTTAATACCTAAAAGCTATCAGTTTAAACAGCAGTCTAATAGATACCAGAATCTGGTTAATATTCAGCATATGAGGATGGGAAAGGCTCCTGGAGTTGGTAGCCAACAGTTGTTTTCTCCTAGCCAGAAGTAAAATCTAATCTCACTACCATGCTAACAGTAACATAGTCCTAACTAGGGATGGTCATGAGCCAGGAAAATGCTATTCGGTTCGTGGTACACCCATGAACTGAACCACGAACCTATCATGGACAACAACCCGTTTGTATGAACCGAACCAGTTTGGGAAGTTTGTGATGTGCTAGAATGTGTCCGTCCCCTCCCGGCATGCTAGAGACACCAAACTCCCAGTGGATCTCCAGCTGACTCTACTCTGCCTGTCCTCCAAGCTTCGTAAGGATTGGATTTACAGTATTTGAATTATGAAAAAAAAACCAAAGGTATCCCCAGGAAAGTGCAGGTTCAGGAATGTACTGAACAGCCCCCTTGGTGTGTACTAGAGACTTCAAACTTGCAGCACATCTCCAGCTGACTCTCCTCCACCTGCCCTCCAAGCTTGGTGAGGATTGGATTTACGGGGTCTGAGTTAGGGCCTCCCCTAAAGAAGGTGCCCCCATACTCCATTGTTTCCAATAAAGAGGGGGAAACAGCCAAAGAAAGCGCAAGGGCAGGAGCCCAGCAGAACAGAAACAGAATCAAAGTCCCCGAGAATCTCTCCAGTAGAAACTGAAGGGGGGGCATTTTTGCCAACCCAGCAGAACCAGGGAAATGTACCCCAAGACCACCTGAAACCCAAACCAGTGTGCAATGACATGTGTAGATGTGGTAGCTCCAAGCCCTGAGACATACATAGGCATGGTGGTTCCAAGCCCTGGGAAGTAAGTAGACATGATGGCTCGAAAGCCCTGAGAAGTAGTTAAACGTGGTGGCTTGAAGCCCTGAGAAGAGAGTAGAGGTGGTGGGTCGAAAGCCTTGAGAAGTTGATTAGACATGGAGGTTTGAAGCCTTGAGAAGGAAGTAGATGTGGTGGCTAGAAAGCCTTGAGCCAACCCCTGACACCCAAATCCCAAAGCTTGCAATGACATATGTAGATGTGGTGGCTCCAAGCTCTGAGTCTTCCCTTGGCACCCAAACCCCAAGGTGTGCTATGATGTATGTATACATGGTGGCTGGAAGTCCTGAGAAGGAAGAAGACATGGTGGGTCAAAGCCCTGAGAAGGAAGTAGACGTGGTGGGTCAAAACCCTGAGATGGAAGTAGACGTGGTAGCTCGAAAGCTTTGAGTCCACCCCTGACCCCCAAATCCCAAAGCATGCAATGGTATATGTAAGCGTGGTGGCTCCAGCCCCTGACACCCAAACACACACCAGTGTGCAACGATATGGGTTGACGTGGTGGCTGGAAGCCCTGAGAAGGAAGTGGACATGGTGGGCGGCTCAAAAACCCTGAGATGGAAGTGGACGTGGTGGGTGGCTCAAAGGCTCTGAGACGGAAGTAGACATGGTGGGTTAAAGGCAGAAGCCGCAGGAGGAGGAGGAGGGATTTATACCCCACCCTTCACTACCCAAAGGTGTCTCAGAGTGGCTTACAAACTCCTTTCCCTTCCCCTCCCCACAACAGACACCCTGTGAGGTAGGTGGGGCTGAGAGAGCTCTTGACAGAAACTGTTTTTTTTCAAGAACAGCCCTTATCACAACTACAGCTTGCCCAAGGTCATCCAGCCAGGTGCAAGTGGAGGAGTGGGGAATCAAACCCGGTTCTCTCAGATTAGAGTCCACGCACTTAACCACTACACCATAGTGGAAGTAGATGTGGTGAATCAAAGCCCTGAGAAGGAAGTAGACATGGCGGGTCAAGGCCCTGAGATGGAAGTAGATGTGCTGGCTAGAAAGCCCTGAGAAGGAAGTTGACGTGGTGGCTTGAAAGCCCTGAGTCCACCTCTGATACCCAAACCCCAAAGTGTGCAATGATGTATGTAGATATGGTGAGTCAAACCCCTGAGACAGAAATAGATGTCGTGGCTTGAAAGCCATGAGAAGAAAGTTGTCATGTTGGCTCCAAAGCCCTTAGTCCATCCACCCTGGACACCCAACCCCCAAACCAGGGCTGAAACATGCAGCCAGTTCCTGAAAGAGAGATGGAAAGGCGGGCACCCCCAGACTTTTGATGGGGGCTCCCCAAAGTACTCCCACAGCAGCAGAGAGGGTGTAATGAATGTGAGTACTCAGCCGAGGCACTGACTACTCAGGGCGGAACCAGACAGGTTGAAAGCACTCCCCCCGATGGGTATTTTATATTCTGCACCT